TAACATTTGTTTTGCTTTGTTTCCCACGGGAGCTATCAAAATAGGGGCGAGACCCTGTTGGGGTAGGGGTGTGTTTGTTTTGGTGATTTCAAATGTCAACATTGGCTACCAGAAATCGCTTACCCCACCTTTAATGAGAAGATACAGAATGAGAGTCCAAACAGCTGATAAAAACATCACAATAATCCACAGGTAATCCACACCACTCCAGTCCGTCAAAAAATATGTCACCTGTAAAGCGATAAGCTGCGTGTTCATAAGAGACAAATTCACCATGATCTTTTAACTTCTGGCTAAAATATGAGTGCTCTTAAATCCATAATATTGGTTTCTCCAGTGAAAAAGTCATGCCATTTGAACTAGTGTACACAGATCAGAAATGATTTACAAGCAAAAACAGTCCAAAACAGTTCTAAACAAACGTGTTATTTAATGTGAGAGGACAACAGGGTATGGTCTTTTTCACTGGAGGAAGTGTTATTATGGATTATGGACTGGTATTTTAGCCAGAAGCCACGGTTTAAAGTTAAAACCTTAATGATGGATTTGTTTCTTATAAATATGCATCTTTAACTTCACAAGATGTTAACTGATGGACTGGAGTGGTATGGATTACTTGTGGATTATTATGTTGTTTTTATCAGCTGTTTGAACTCTCATTCTGACGGCACCCATTCACTACAGAGGACCCATTGGTGAGCAAGTGATGTAATGCTACATTTCTCCAAATCTGTTCTGATGAAGAAACAAACTCCTCTACATCTTGATTGGCCTGAAGGTGAGTAAATATTTAGCAAATGTTAATTTTTGGATGAACTATTTCTTTAAACACAAATATCTAAATTCTTCTTCTTGAGCACCAAACTTCACATCTTACATCACTATACTGCCTTTGGCTAATAAAATACTGTATTTTTAAAAAATATGTTTTTAATATCGTAGAGAGAGAGGGGAATTAGTATTATTCATTAATTCACTATTTGAAGTAAGCCAAATCTGGCATCCTCCCTTTGGGGGCATTAGAACATGTCTTCATTTGGAAAAAGAATGATACATAAACAAAGAAAATAATGTTGTGTGTGTGTGTTCTAAACATGCTAAATGTTTTTGTAGGTTTAGGGCTAATTATAATACACTTACACAAAAACATCAGAAGCCAGTTATATAGCTGAGTAAACATGTTTGTGTGCGATCTGATTCTTTGCCAGATATATGATATCTGCATTAGTTTTGTGACCCAGGTTAGGTTGCCATAACAACCACTGCGATGACATCACCACAAAATGCATTCTGTGTTTTTGTGAATGTTCCGTTTTAGAACAAAGTAATGTCAATCTGAATCGTGAGGAGTTAAGGCAAAGTTTAGTTCTAAACACACCTAAATCAGCTAATCAGTGTCTTCAGGATTATTTGAACATTACAGTCGAGTGTGATAGAGCAGGGCTGGAAATAAAATCCTCAGAACAGTGACCCTCCAGAAACAAGATCTAAATTAGAGGCTGATAAGAATGACAAACCCAGAAGCATTACGGTGAAAAAGGGTTAATCGCAAATGACTTCCTGTAAGTGGATACTCCTCAAATGATTGTGGAGATGAAGCGCTCAGGCTAATGGTGCATGTAAGCATCTATTAAACCAAGTGCATGCTTTGTGCTCTGTTTGTGGGAGTTTGAGCTGTAGAGAGAAGCGTTTATAGATTTAAACAGGTTACTGTCCTATAGCATTCCACTGTGACTGCAGTACCGTAAAACTGCAACATGGGCAATACACACACACACACACACACTTTCGATCTCTCTCATACCTGGTTGCGTATTTAAATGTCATTGACTTAAAATTTAAATTGACATTGACTATATTAAGTATACTATTTCTACTTACTATAGACTAATCATAACCCAAAAGATACCTGTTTTGCATTTCTAGAAGAAAAAATGTAAAGAAAAAAAGGGGGGAGGGGCATTATTTATTTTATTAATGGACACTTCCCTAGTGCATATTTTGTTAGATATTGCTAAACTTTGATTTTTTTAGCATTTTTTTTAAAATATCAAATGCTAATATTTAAATGATTAATTATAATTACTATACACTAATCCTAACCCTCTTTTGAATTTTTAGATTAAAAAAAAACATTATTGATTTTATTAATGAGCACATCCCTACTGCAGATTTTGTCAGATGTTGCTAAAGTTTGAGCATTTTTTTTAATAGCAAATGCTAATGTTTACATGATTATTAATCTAATTATAATTAGTAAAGACTAATCCTAACCCAAAAGCTATCTCTTTTGCATTTAATAAATAAATAAATGCCTACAAAGAACAAAAGCACATATTCGTGTCATGATAAGAACCAAAAATAAGGATCGCCGCTTTCTTTACTACAGTAAAGCAAAGTTCACATGTAATTTGGTCATTTTGCAGAAAAGGCTTTATAGTCTGGTTTTAGCATGAGGCCTGTGTGATGGATTGAGGACAGAGCAAAAATCAATGTGATCACTCAGTGGAGTAAATGAAGGGAAACAACACTATAGGTGACGTGATGTGTTTGATCCACTGCAGTGCTTCTTCCTCAAGTAAGTCACGAGCACATAAAGGGAAAAGGTCAACCAAGGTAAAGCACTGACTGCTTAAAAAAATTAGTAACATGGATAATATATAACAAGGTGGCCCTTGTAACAAATAGGGTTTGAAAATGACTTGGAAGTTTTCAAGTTAAAGTCTCATTTTGCTCATTTTCAACAAAGTGGAATCATGTGAAAAAAGTAAGCTCGAAAGGTCAACATAAATGTAATATGTGTAGTTTTATTTTATATTCATTTTATATTTTATCTATCTGCCAAGCTGTAGGGTGTCACAATTCTATGGAATTTTATTGTTTTATTTTTTATTTATTTATAATATTTTTTTAGAAACATTTAAATGGGACTAAATATGTATAATTAAATGCTTTAGGTTAAATGTTCAACAATTACTTGAGCGTGTGTGTGTATATGTTTATTTAGTTTTAGATAACAGTTTTTGATTTTGGCCTTAAAATGAATGAGAAACCAATTTGTACCCTATTGGTGAAAAGTGCCAGGTAATGATGAAATAGCTGGCAGTTACATTCTTTACATAAATTTACATAATTGAGTTTCCTTTTAATATGCGAATAATTCAGCTAAACTAAAATACACTAAAACTAGTGGCCTACTGATTAATGGATCTCTTTGTAGTAACATCTCACCGCTCGTTATAATTTGACCCGCAGCTAAGGCACAAGAATGTCAGTTGCTCTCTGTGCAACCGGAACATGTAGTGATCATTGTTTGCTTGAATTTGGTAACTGAATACTGTTTAATCAACACTGGAACACCTTCATTATTCTGAACCGATGTATATATAACATGCTGAAATTATCTATGGGACATAAACGGTGATATGTGATCAACCTGACCTGTGACCTGACCTTTATTCACTAGCAGGGAAGAATAATGTGACACTGAAGACTAGAGTAATGGCTGCTGAAAATTCAGCTTTGCATCACGGGAATAAATTACATTTTAATATATATTAAAATATAAAAGAGTTATTTTATATTGTAATATTATTTCACAATTTTTCTGTATTTTTGATCAAATAAATGCAGCATTGGTAAGCATAAGAGACTTCTTTCAATAACATATTTATTGGCATTATATGTGTCTTCAAATGCATAAAAAACACATTAAAGAGACTGTAAATGGGCATTTTAAAATCTAGCCACTACAGCAAGGCACAGCAATGATAATCACATGCAAAGTTATTTTTGATCAAATAAATGCAGCATTGGTAAGCATAAGAGACTTCTTTCAATAACATATTTATTGGCATTATATGTGTCTTCAAATGCATAAAAAACACATTAAAGAGACTGTAAATGGGCATTTTTAAATCTAGCCACTACAGCAAGGCACAGCAATGATAATCACATGCAAAGTGTGTGCTCCCTTTAGTTTATGAATTTAAATATATATATATATATATATATATATATCTGTATTCAAAACCTCATCTGCCAAAAGGACAGTAACTGACCTTTGGCCTTCATGAGAGAAACTGTAGTTACCATTAAGTGATCACAGGTACACACACACACACACACACACACACAAGCGAATTCAAACGGCGGGTGATATTCCTTAGATGAATTAAGAGTTTGTTAACCTTCATTTTATCAGTAAAAGATTAATGAGGACAGAGGAAGCTTGTTCCGTAGGTCGAGGAAGCTGATAAGGGAGTTTTATGGCAAACACACAGTGCCGAATCAGCGACTTCCATTGTTTTAACGGAGGCGGCAAAGGGGAGATATATCATACACTCACTAATACACATGCAAAGACCTTCCCTGGTGTGCAGAAGCATTTTTATATCATAAAGCTGCCCATTTCCCTATATAGTGTAAATTCAGACATCAGTAAAGTGTGTTCAGGTAGCTGACGAGGTTCACACACGCACGGAGAATGACAAGTCAATTACTCTCATATCTGCTGACCCAGCATCTCATAAATGACATTTTATTAAAAGGACTTAACACATCCATCTGTTCACAGGGCGATAATATATATTGGGCTATGGGTTTTTTATGATAACATCAAATGTCAGTATATTAAATGAGTTTCATTAGAAGGCATGGACAATAGTAAAGACATATGCTGTGCTGTGTTTATGTGTTTAAGGACTTAAAACTTAGTACTGAAAAGTATAATACTAATCAAAGGTTGTGCTTGATTGAGTCATTAAAAAACGAAATAGTAAAATAATACATGTAGTTAAAGCCTGATTATAAGGCAATCAAGAAAATCAGAAAGATTAACCTCTCTAAACTGCGGGGAAAAAAATCAGCATGAGAAATTAAGGTGTCACCATGCAGTAAAATAACTTGAAAGTAAGTATACTATTATATATATATATAATATAACTTCATGTTGATAAAATGAAATTAGCATCTGCAGACTACAGGCTGTGTTTTTTAGAGGATGCTAATGTTGTTCTCATTGCAGTACTGCCACCTAAAGGTCAACACTGTTAATACTGAATCTGTATTTTATTTAATTCTTATGTGTGGTGTCAATATGAAAGGGTGCATATGTATTTTTGTGACTTGTTTTTGACAGACGTATTAAAAAGGGGAGTTCATGCCGAGTTTGGTGTCAAATTGAAGCTTCTGTCGTTTCTGGTATCTCACCCTCATCCTGTAGCAAACAATCACAAACCCACAGATATCTAACATGTATGACACAATAAAACGTTAACAATGGCATTCATTTATATTCATTTTAAATAATAACTTTTTGTTTTTTAATAATTAAATGACTTAAAAGTTGGCTTAAATGTAAAATATTTGAATAAATATCTACAACAAACATTAATGTTACATTTTTAATATAATTATATATTTTACATATGTTATTTCAATGAAAACATACATGATACATAAGAGCAATGGTAAGATTTTAATTAAAAGTGGTTTTTATTAATTTTACTTTTATTCAGTAAAGACATTCAATTGATCAAAAGTCACAGACTAATGTTAAAATAATTGTAATGTTACAAAAGATTTTATTTCAAAAATAAATGCTGTTCTTTTTAACTTCATATTCATCAAAGAAACCTACAAAAAATGTATCATGGTTTCCACAAAAATATTAAGCAGCACAACTGTTTTCAGCATTGATAATAATCAGAAATGTTTCTTGAGCAGCAAATCAGCATATTAGAATGATTTCTGAAGGATCATGTGACACTGAAGACTGGAGTAATGATGCTGAAAATTCAGCTTTGATCACAGGAATAAATTACATTTATTCAAATAGAAAACAGTTCTTTTAAATTGTAATAACATTCACAATGTTACTGTTCTACTGTATGTTTGGATCAAATAAATGCAGCCTTGGTGAGCATAAGAGACTTCTTTAAAGACAAACAAACAAACCTCTTACCTTTTGAATGGTAGTATAGATTATTATTTGGATATACGGTATATTAACTACTGATCTAGACAGCATTACATACTGTTTGCTAATGACTTATTAGAAAGTGTAACTATTGTATTATATTATTGTGGCTGCATTACCTGATCTCATGCAGTTTGATGCCCTCGTTGATAAAGACCAGCGGGATCAGCCAGAGGATTCCTAACACCCAGGATGCCATGGGAATATCCGAGATACAGAACATGTGGTCAGGGTCATGCCACAAGAAGCGGGAAACCATTGCCAAAGAAGCATTAAGAACTGGCCTGTGAGGGAAACAGAGACAGCCTGGTATTTAAATGACCATTCCATAACTTCCATAAAAATGCTCATGCTTCTGAAGTTATTAATTAGACTTTAAAGGGATAGTTTGGAAAAAAAATGGAAGTCAGTGGCTACTGTCAGATGTTTGGTTACACACATTCTTCAAAATATCTTATTTTGTGTTCAACAGAAGAAAGAAATGCATACAAGTTTGGTACAACTTGAGGGTGAGTAAATGATGACAATTTTTTTTTATGTACAGAACACAAAATGTATCAATATGTCATGATAAAAAGCTACTTACACAATGCAGATGACAGCACACCAGCAATGGTTGCTCAGCGGGCTCTGTTTCCACATGGGAGCTGAGCGATGGACATGACTGATAGATGTACACACTTAACACACACAGACACAGGGAACACCAGGTTCACACTCAGACACGTCTTCACTTTCAGTATGCTGAATGATGTAGCTTTAAAATATGATGCAAGCTTGATGTCGTTGAAGGAACTGTTCAATCAAGAATAAAAATACTGGAAGAAAATGAAAATAGCACCACAAAGGAATTGACTTTGACTGACTGGCATTGAGCAGCACAAGAAAGGCGATGACTTTCTGCGCCAGACTTAGACCATCTGAGTGCCTGCCGTACCAGTCGGGAGACCACACTGTTGAATTCCTGCAGACAAACACGCAAAACAGATTCACGTTTACTATTATACTGTATATTATTTCAATATCTCAGCAACACAACAAGGGTGAATTTGCACAAAAAACATCTATGGTTCATTTATATGCTATACAATTTTTTTAAACAGTATGTGAAACAGTATGAATTGTGCAGTAAGATACATTGTTGATACATGACTTCATGATATCCAAAAAACAATTGTTTTTAATAATTGTCATTATATCACTTGCTCACCAATGGATCTTCTGCAGTGAATGGGTGCCGTCAGAGTGAGTCCAAACAGCTGATAAAAACATCTCAATAATCCACAAGTAATCCACACCACTCTAGTCCATTAATTAACATCTTGTAAAGTGAAAAGCTGTGTTTTTGTGAGAAACAAATTCATCAAGACTTTTAAACTTTAAAGTGACCAGTCCATAATCCATAATAACGCTTCTGCTAGTGAAAAAGTCCATCCCCTGTTATCCTCTCACATCGAAATCCACTGACATATTTGAAAACGGCACTTTATCAGTGCATATTTCTGACGTGATTAAGATGATACAAGATTTTCACTGGAGAAAGCAACATTATGGAAAGAGGACTCAATGTTTTTAAGTTTTAAATGTCTTGATGGATTTATTTATTACAAACACACAGCTTTTCACTTCACAAGACATTAATTGATGGACTGGAGTCATGTGGATTAGTTGTAGATTATTGTGTGATGTTTTTATCAGCTGTTTGGACTCTCATTCTGACGGCACCCATTCACTGCAGAGAATCCATTGGTGAGCAAGTGATGTAATGCTACATTTCTCCAAATCTATTCTGATGGAGAAACAAAATCCTCTATATCTTAGATGGCCTGAGGGTGAGTACATTTTTATAATATGTTCATTTTTGGGTGAATTATTACTTTTGGCAGACCGAGTGAAATTTTTTTTTAAATAAAGAATAAAAATCACAATTCATTTGTCACACAGAAATTAGAATATCTGTAGTAAAAAGAGTAGAACTATGTTAGAATGCTATTAGTCTAAACGCATCACATACACTTCCACATACATGAGCAGTGATGTTGGGTGACACAGATCTTCATCTTGATGGTTAATATCAAGACAGAAGCTGTGCAGCATGAGGCCAAAGCATGTGAGAAAGGTACACACCGTGAGACCAAACTTCACCAGGAAACACAGCACAAACAGCCGCAATGTCTGCAGAGAAATACACAAAACTACTGCACATCTCTTTAGCTGATCAATTATACAATGAGTGTTATGTGTATCAAAACAACTTAGAATTAACTCAATAAGCAGATGCTCTTTTGTGAATATTATCCAGGCCAATGAAAGATGAACTGAAATATTCAGAAAATACATTACAGACCCCTTTTTAAAAGCTTTTCCTGTTTCTTTACCTTTTTTGGCATGAATCTGAGATTTTTCCCAGTAGGAACTTTCATGATGGAATTGTCAGATGGCTTTCCCAGAAGGGACACACTGGAAAGAGAAAGGAATTTAGTTAAAAGAGAGTAAATAATAATAAAACGATGCCTTCAAAAACATACACAAAACTAAACTAGGACAGCTATAATACACGTTTCTTTTATCAAACATTCAAGATCAGGGCAATTTCAATTTTAAGAACACACATATTGACTGACCACTGATCTGAATGTTTAGGAGCCCCCTCAGTTTTTATTATTGATTTTTTTGGTCATTTTGTGCATGTATTTGGATGCATGTTATTGTGTATTATATTCTATTTTACCTCAGTAAGGGAAAATAGAAACAGGACAGAAAGAGGACATCACTTGTGCCCAGAGGAGGAGGAAGTTGACACACACATGCCAGAATCTGTGGAAATAAACAAACACACACCAGCTTACTCAGCTGCACCTGTCAAACTCTGAGCTTTAGATGTAAATCATGAGTGTGTTACTCATTACTTCTGACAGAAATAGCAACGTCAAAGTAACTAAGTGCATGTGGGACATATAAAAGAGACCAGTGCTATAAAGTCCTAAATGTGCCCTAAAAATGAACAATTAAATAAATAAAAAATTCTACTTTTAAATGATTTATTCAAAAATGTATACAAATATAAATTTATTTGCAAACTGAGAAATAAACTAAATGAATAGATAAATTGTTCAATGAATGTTTAATTAATTACATCTAATTAATTTAAATATATTAATAATTTTAAATACAGACACAACATGTGTTTATGTAGTTAGACTTAATTGATATCTATCTATCTATCTATCTATCTATCTATCTATCCATTCATCCATCCATCCATCCATTCATCCATCCATCTCTCTCTCTCTCTCTCTCTCTCTCTATATATATATATATATATATATATATTCAAGGTATATATTTATTGTAATATTACTGTATATTATTTGTATTGGCCTTAACTGGCCTTTTTTGGATATAAGAAATTATATTTCAATGTAATAATAAAAGTATATTAATTAATTAATGTATTTTAGTTTTATTAATTATGATTATTATTTATTTTTATTATGCATATGCTTTATTTAGGTGACACTCCTAGTCCTCTCTTATACCTGAATGAGGACAAGGGACAGCTGACACTGGAGCAAAAACAGAAAACACTTTCTGATGCCTGCCGTGGTGTGACGTGCCTGAAGAAAACAACATGATTGTATTTATAAAAATTACTAATATATTATACATCCATTAGTGTACATGTGTGTTAAAGCGTGTCTACATTCACCTGTTTGATGAGCCTGATGACGGTGTTGTTGTCTTGTTGGTTAAACTGTACTGTGCAAGCCAACCCACAGATGGCGCTAGAGAGCTGAATTACACTTAAAGAGTCTGATGTGTTCAAAGCTGCATCAGAATTGGACCAACAACATGTGGGAACCAGAGGATCTAAAGCAATGCTGTCAATTAATAAGTCAGAAACAATGGATAATGTAAAGTATATATATAATATAGTATAGTATAATATAATATAATATAAAAATGCATCAAATAAATGCATAAAGGCAAATGATTCCACTTAGAAATCTTGGCTATATAGGAAAACCAGGGTTACTTTCATTGTGACAATTTAACCCATATAGTACAACAACATGCTAATAGGCTGCTAACAGGTCACAAAAGGTCAACATGTGTTTGGTGAAATGTATTATGCTTTTGCGGACAATATAGGTGGCAATTTTTATGCCACAATGTTTCATGCTGGCATTACAATCAGTTGGGATTAGGGTGTGTTGTTAAAATATTAAAATAAGTCAGGTCATGTCATGAGTAAATCCGTTCTTGGCAGGTTATTGAGACAAATGAGAAGAGGTGAGTTAAAGGCTAGACAGATCACCTGATATCACTTTGTAAGAAAATTTCATTGTTGTCGATGTTTTGACTGCTCCCGAGGCAGCACACGACCTCTCCATACTCCTGCATGATACACACCATCTCACATTCAGCTACACACACACACACACACACACACACACAAGCACAAGCACAGTTTAGAATGGTGGCTTTGTTGATGGTGATATAAATACGTCTGAGCAGTGTTGCCAGAACTAGAAAAAAAAGCAACCAGCTCTGACAAAGCAAATTCATTTCATTCATCTGATGAAGAGCTATTTTTAAGCAATATATGTTTTAATTATATACAACATTATGAAAAGATGCATCAGAACAAGTGGGATGAGAACAATTAAAAGGTTAAAAAAAAATATGCAAACTAAGTTTGGGGTCAGTAAGATTAGTTTTTAAATGTTTTTTTTTTTATGTCCACCAAGACTGCATTTATTTGATCAAAAATACAGTAAAATCAGTAATACTGTTAATTATTATTACAATTTAAAATAACTGTTTTCTATTTCAATATATTTAAAAAAATATTTTTTACCTAGCTAAATTTTTTAGCTAAACATTTATTATTGTTGAAAAAAACTGTGCTGCTTAATACTTTCATGGAAACAGTGATATCTTTTTTTTTCATAATTTTTTGGTAAATAGAAAGTTCAAAAGAGCAGCATTTATTTGAAATAAAAAATGTAACTTTATAAATGTCTTTATTATCAATTTTGATCAGTTTAATGCATCCTTGCGGAATAAAAGTATTTATTTCTTTCATCTTTCAGTTCTTTCATTTTTTAAAAAATGCAACTGTTTAGTCATTTCGACTGTTTTACTGTCAATTTTGATCAATCAGTTTTTCATAAATGACTGCTCAATGCATTTTTATTGAAAGATTAATACAATTTATTCATTACAACATTTGTCAACAAAATTTGAGTCATAAGAGCTTATAACTTTATTTTTCATTTATTTAGACAAATACCAACAAATAAAATAAAATAAATAAATGTTGCAACACTAATTTTGTGTGTCTGTGTGCGTGTGTATATTTGTGTGTGTCTTACTCTGTGATGTGCAGTCTGTAAATAAAGGGACCAGCAACGGAACATTATCATTGTCCTCCAGATGTGGCCTCACATTCTCTATTCCTTTTGGAAGTTTGGCCTGGAAAAACAAGAATCGGGTTATCGCTATTTTGGGATCCTACCTCCTGGCCCCAACAAGGAAAACAGCTTCTTAGAAGGTCTAAATAATGCCTTTATAGAAATCTGAAGTGTTAATATATTGTAAATGAGTGGCACCCTGTTTAGGTCCTCGATGAGACATGCTCCATCATGCTCCATTGCTCTTGACTCTGCCCTCTCTCTGACACTGTCTCTCAGCAGAATTTCCTCCTCTGAAATCAATAAATGCAAATTTAAAACGGGTCATAACTGGCATTAATCTCTGCAATGCATAACTCTGTCTCTCACCTTCCTCGGTCACCGGCTCCTCCACGTTATCTGGGTCGAGAGGGAAGCTCTCTGATTGGAGGGAGATGTGACAGTTCCATCCCGTCTCCAGTCCCATTTTCTCAGCAAACACCTACTCATGGAGTGATTCAACTTGTAAATAACATGAATAAAACATTTGTACAGTCGATCATCCAACATTGTTTGAATAATGAAAATGTTAAACAGCAGCTGTGATGTAAATGACATGATTTAGGACATGTTCCCACATCAACATCCTGTGTTGGTCCTGCAAAAACATTCCTATCCAACAATCATAACATGATCTAAAGTCAACAAAGACCCCATTTACTTTTTTATACATGCTCCTGGTATTACAGTGCATGTTTTGTCAGTGCACAACAGCATGTTATATATTTCTATACTAACTTTCAAAAGTTTACAAACTAATACTTTTTTTTTTATTCAGCAAGGATTCAGTAAATTGAATCCTTGGCAAGTTGGCAAGTGACAGCAAAGACATTTCTAACATTACAAAAGATTTATATTTCAAATAAATTCTGTTTTTTTGGAACTTTCTATTTTTCTATTTTTTTTTTTGCAGAAAATCTGCATATTAGAATGATTTCTGAAGGATCATATGACAATGAAGACTGGAGTAATGATGCTGAAAATTCAGCTTTGCCATCAGAAGAATACATTATATTAAATATATTTAAATAATTATATTTAAATAATAATAATTCACAATATTACTGTTTTTACAGTATTTTATGATCAAATAAATGCAGCCTTGGTGAATCTTACCTACAAAAAAAAAAAAAAGGATCATACTGACACCAAAAGTCTGAACAGTAGTATATGACAATAATTTAAATTTATTATATTGTATCCAATTATAGGTACTTGCTTTAGCTCTGAAGTGACTTTCCTTTTCATTTGATGTCACAAAGGCTATTTGTTAACATTAGACAGGCTACAAAATACCTCTATTACCGCTATTACTGTACATTTGTGTGTAGGAGTGTTTATGTCTGCTGACCTTACTCCGAACTTCCTCTTCACTGGAAAAATAGACAAAACGAATGCAAGCACTGTCCAGCCCTGAGATAAGTCTGACCACATCAGGATGGGCTTGGTACTGTGAGGACACCAGACCCAGAAAGATCTGCTGCCTGAGGGGTGTGATAGAGATGTCATCTGCACACACACACACACACACACACACACATTATACTTCCTGATAACATTTCAGTCATATACATGGATCATGTATTTTTACATAATCAGATTTTTTCCTCATGTACCTGTAGTGTCAGTACTGTGGTTCAAAGGCAGTTCCACACAGGTGTCATCTATTTGTGGGTCATGTGGTTGTAACAGCGGCTTAAAGGAAACAGCAACACACTGACCAGCCATACAGGAACGCTGATAAAAATCCACAACTTTCTTCCTGCACATGCACACACAAAAATATTTTAAAATAAACTCTATTTTAATAGAATTTCTTTGAAAAAAAATAAATGCCGTTTTTATTCATCAAAGAATACTAAGCAATATCACCACAAAAAATATTAAACAGCACAACTGTTTTTTTAACACAATAAGTAATGTTTCTTGAGCAGCAAATCAGCAAATTAGAATGATTTCCGAAGGACCATGTGACTATAGTCTGAACTAATGGCTGTTGAAAATTCAGCTTTGCATCACAGGAATAATTTTTTTAAATATAATAAAACAGAAAACAAGTATATTGTAATTATACTTCACAACATTACTTTTCTTTACTGTATTTTGGATCAAATTAATAATTTTTTTTTTTGAAAACTTCTTTTAAATCTTATTGAATACCAACCCTAAACTGACATATAATACACAGTAATAATATTAATATTTATTAAAATCATACATAAAATATAAAAATTAGATAAAGTTTCTATATTTTTATATTATTATAAATTTTTCTAATTTGATATTTCATTGATTTAGTTTCTATTTCAGTCTAACAAAGCCCTTGCAGTTCCATCTGTGCACAACACAACAAAGTTCAGCTTCATGCAAATAAGCCGTGACGCAATGCGACTAGAAGTGGACTGCATTCAAATAGGAACGCCTGCTAGCACCGACTTGGCAACCTCCAGGGGTTTAATCGCTGTCAGTGTGAATGTACCTTTAGACATTCAAGATTTGGACTTGTAATCTGAAAGCTGATGATTCAAACTGCCCGAAGAAGTGTTTTATTAACGGAGAAAATAGTGAGATTCCCTAACACCTCTATGTCCTTGAGCAAAGCACTTAACCCTAGATGCTCCAGGGGGACATGCCAGCATTAAATGTGCTTTAGATAGGAATTGCAGCAGGTGCTCTAACACACACACATACAGAGTTCACAGCATGAATCTACATAGAAGTCAGACCTGTCGGAGTCTGTGAGGGGTTGGATATCCTCTCCATCCCAGAATTCAGTGCATGCACCCAAAATTGCGTCAGCTGAGCCATATGAGAACAACTGAAGATCACCTTGGGACAAAAACATCAAATTGTACTCTATATGAAACTTGCTAGACAGAAACAGAATATTAGATAGTTTGTGACATTATTAAACTGTGGATCTCAAACATATTTACTGTAAGAGCTGTACGGAATAACATTTCTGTCATGACAACTCTCGGAGGGATTGGCATGGTAATCGGTCAGACTGAGTTAGACCTATCGGACTGCGCCATCTAGAGTTTCATGCCAGAACCCTGTATATGACTCATACCATCTTACTGCATACTAGGCCCTGTCTCAAATGGCACCCTAATCCCTCACGGTCTTCCTCAGAGTCCGCACTTTCGTGACGTAATGCCGTTTTAGCCGGGTAGAAGTCGGCTGCGTATAGCTCGCAGGCTTGCGGGCTCAGCAGAAGTGCGCATAGCGGCCGCGAAGGGGGCGCTCTCGAGCACCCTTCTGAATGCTAAAATGACGAATGGGACACACTACGGTCTCGTGGACTTAACGGACACACGCACGCAGCGGCCATTGTAAGTCCTCCAGGCCGAAAGTGCACATGAAGTGTGCCATTTGGGACAGGGCCCTAGTGTGCATCATGCTATCATGGAATACTATGTCCCATAATGCAATGCTCTCAGCTTGACAGTGTAATGTGACAATTGACCTGGAAGTAATATCAGCTGCAATTTTTAACATCTGTTTCTTGATTATTTGATCCAATTCCCAAGAGTTAAAATGTTTACTTGATGGAAATTTACACTTATAAAACCTCAATAAAAATGAGGTTGTCTTGACAGCTAACTGAAATAAATACATTAACAAAAACCAAATATAATAAAAATTAATTAAACCTAAATGTAAATAATAAAATAACAATAAAAATGACAAATGCACAAAAAACTAAATACTTAAATAAAAATTAAAACTAATGAAAATATAGAATTAAAGCTAATTCAAAATATTATTAAAACTTAAATTAGTATACTAAAACTATACTGTCCTATATAGTATCAGTTCTAGTTTTATGTGTCCTGTCTCATGGTCTCTTTTCTCCCACATAACAATAATTTATACATTTATGAGAAATAATTTCAAGAAATATTAAAAATTACATAAATATTTCATGTCCACTTATTTATTTTGTACGCAGCTGTGCAATAAGTGGGATACTGTATAATCTACAAATTATTATCATTAAAAAAAACACCTCCACTAATGACCAGTTGGCTGTACGTTATCCCTTACATACTTTCACATACTGTTTCTGTACACAATGCACAGTATACAATAAATAACATCCTAGCAAACTGTTTCTAACATATTAACTGTTTACTATTGGCTGTGATGTTGTAATGTCACAAACATCCAGGAATGTTGATGCATTTATACATGTGTGTGTGTTCACCGGTGTAAGTGTGGTGCACCAGCAGCGCTATGAGATGTGAGAAAGGAAGCCGTCTCATTGACACAGAAGGTGGAGCAATGATCCCCGGGTCTCCAGGGCAGGAGATGGAGGGCAGGGTGTAGGCTGCCACACTCATTCTCTGCTCGAAAGGCTCCTTCGCGGAGGTGGAGAAGCCTGTAGATTTGCATATACACACACTGTCACCACTACAATGCAGTTTTGCTGGATATTTATTTTTGGAAAATATGAAAGACTTCAGGTTACAAGACATTTATCAAACAGCAACCATGATACTACCATTATATTTCTTTAAATAAAATAACCCTGCAATGCTATATAAATACCATGTTAAATATTAAAAATACCATGCCAGTATTTTTATGTAATGGGAAATATACCACGCCATTGAGATGAATCTTGGTATTTACATTACTGTTCAGAAGTTTGGGGTCTGTACATTTCATTTTATTTTTTTATTTTATTTTAATGTTTTTGTCTCTTAAGCTGGAGCTTTCTTAATATAAAAAAATACAGTAAAATATGCAAAAAAACCTGAAATATTATTACAATCTAAAATAATTATTTTCTATTTAAGTATATTTTAAAATGCAAGTTATTCTTGTGATGGGAAAGCTGAATTTTTAGCATCATTACTCCAGTCTTCAGAGTCACATGATCCTTCAAAACCCCCAAACAAATAGTAGTGTACATAATATTCCATGGTATTTCCAAGAATACCATGGCACATGTTTACAAAATGGTGACATGTTCAAAAAACAAGGAAGTGCTTTCTGTAAATGATGGTATTTACTGTATGTTACTCCATGGTACTTAATATACATCGCTACTGATGTCCAGAAACATCGTTTTACCATAGTTCATATGTAGAAACACTACTGATACTTTTTCGCTAGTGATACACACACTATATCCCTTTCTATTTACTCTGGCTTCACTTTTACACTACCTCTGAGATTTTGTTGATGCTTCTGCTTTCTCACAGTTGTGAAACTACCTTGACAAAAGGTGCATTTCCCTGGAGCATTAAACACCACTATTTCTTTCATCTGGCTTTACCCAGAATCCTCGGTAGATGGCAGAGGCCCCAGGGTGGGTGGACCGGCTGACATGGGGGTCGAGTGCGCACTAGCGCGGCATGGGTCAGGTGGTCGGAGAGGCGGAGTATGCGGGTGGTGACTCCAGGGTCACAGAGGACCAACTGCGCAGCCAATCCCAGAGGCCGAAGAGAGGGGGCGTGACGCTGCCAGCATGTGTCATCAAACTGCACCCGTGTGTCATCACACTGAGCCTGACCCACCGACAAACTTAACATCTGCAGACTGCAGAGTGAGCGGATCTTGAGAAGAAAGACATCAGATGAGACCTTGTGAGATGTTATGACTCATGAAAGCAGACTCATTTTAATCAAAATATGCATTTTTTTTTTTACCTGAATGGCATCCTTCAGGCCGACCTCTTCCGTTTCTTTGTCTCTTTCTCTCTTTGCCTCTTTTTGCCTCTGTCTTTCTGTCTCTTGTGATGAGATGGACCTGCTAAAGAACAGAATCTTCTCAGGGTTTGGACTGGGCCATGAGAGAATGCCCTGCTTATCAACACAACACAGGACCTGGAATACATATACACAACCAAACACACACATACAAACAATTTGTGACTTTTATTATTCTTAATAAATATTAAATGCAACATAAATATCATTATAAATCAGAGATGCCCAAACCAAAGTTGGTCAGTGAATAACATTAAATTTGGCCCGCCATGCTATATCACAAGTGGAAGCAAAAACATGCCATTAATGCATATAGTCATATTGAATTTATAGTTAAAAAAAAAAAAGTTTTGTTTTGGCATTGAAATATACAAAAACAATATAAGTGAATTTGATTAAAAATAACTGAAAAATGTTAATTAAATTTGGTTTCAATATATTTTTTTTCTATTTAATACATAATATAATATCACTAGATATATTGCAACATTTACTTTTGGCCCACGGCCCTCAATCAGGTTTTGGCCCTTTGTATAAAAAAGTCTGGGAACCTCTGTTATAAATATTAACATTATCATTATTACAATCCTAAACCCCAACACTGCATTTACAAAAATGCATTAGGGTAATACCACAGTATTTTTTTAATACATTGGAGTGCCATGCAAATACAGTGAAAAAAATTATTAAAATTGTGTCCAATACCACTAAGACAATACTTTTATCTAATGTGATGACCATATTACAATTAAAGCTTTTGTGTAATTTAGTTATGCAATTAAAACTTTGCAATTCTTATGCAATTCATTTTGATGATTAAATTATTGTATTGTGTGAAATTGTGAAATTAAATTAGATTTGATTGTTTTGATTAAATTAGATTATGACAAAGATAATCTAATATAGCATCCACAATTAAATATTCAACAGACCAATAAAATACATAGCAAAATATCTAATATTGACCAAAACCATATGATCCCTGCTGTGAATACGAGTATGGTACTATAATCATATAGTACTATGGTTTTACCTTCTGATACTCGTTTCTGCCATGGTACTTTTTTACAAATATCTTGTTGCTTTTTTTAGATTGTAAGATATCCTGTGGCCCATTTAGATATCTTGAGATATATCAAGACATTTTGTTATATTTATGAAGACGTTTTCAGAAATGTAGTCATAAGAAGTGCAGAGTAAACAAAGTTCACATTAATTCATAAATATTCTTGCATACTGATACTGTGACAAACTGCATTCTGGAACACACTCAAAAGCTCTTATTACAGTATTGAATTACCGTGAGAGAGATAAAATAACATTTACTGCCCCAGCATCACTCAGCGTGTGTAGCACAGAGAAACATAATGCAATGTACTGTACAGCAGGTAAGCTATAATTCAAACCGAATACACACACATAAAAATGCATGAATGTCATTGCATTAGATAAAATATAAAAACAAGTGGCAATTGTTTTAAAGACGATTTATTTGCAGATGCCAGTTGATTACTGAATGCAATGACATGCATATATTTAATTGTGCCTTAAGTCTTTTTGTGCCTGATGTCTTTTGCACTTACAGTTACAGATCCCAGACTGTGTAGCAAACTAGCAGTGTGGCAGAGTGCCGCTGTTTGACCCCAGAACACTGAGTAACATTTCTTACAGGCCAACTTCCACATTTCCTGTTCAATGAAATGGGGAAATCATTTTGGCATTCCAAATCATTACCAACAATACATCCATTCACATGGTTACAGTTGTAAGCAATAAATATACAGGCAGCTATTGTGTGGTTTCCTCTTTTTTGAACATACCCACCAGTCCGCTGGCTGTGAGCCCATCTGTAAAAGAACACGGGCCTCTCCGTACATGCACACAAGAACCCAAAGCAGGGGGAAAGTCAGGGGCAACAAAGGCAAAACACCATTCACCTGAAACACAACATTTCATGTATTTACTACGGATGCATTTTTATGTTTTGGTCAATATTTTTAAATATACACTGTTAAGATTTTATTTTTCAATAAAAACTACAGTTTGCATAAAGTTAAATTTCATTTCTGTGAAAAAAGGCATCAAAAAATATAATGCACAGCATAACAAAGAGATAACTAGTTAGTGCTCAAACAGCTGATAAAAACATAATAATCCACAAGTAAGTACAAGTACTTGTGGATTATTGTGTTGTTTTTATCAGCTCTTTGGACTCTCATTCTGACGGCACCCATTCACTGCAGAGGATCCACTAGTGAGCAAGTGATGTAATGCTACATTTCTCCAAATCTGTTCCGATGAAAAAACAAACTAACCTACATTTTGGATGGCCTGAGGGTGAGTACATTTCCAGCTATTTTTTATTTGTGATTTTGATATGTCTCCCACGTGCTTCAGAACGCGGTCACGCAAGGGCGTTCCCAAAGCGATCTCGACGCAGCTCGAGTTCCTGAAGGGGAACATCTGATACTTCCATAAAATATAATTGAGAACTACATGAAATATTAAATATTATTCAAAGGGGGAAAATAAATAAATAAATGAACATACTGAACCACCTCAGCCGCTGGAGTCTTTGTTACCCTGAAGAGCTGTGGTTGGAGCAAACGATGTAGGCGGGGCCTTCCACTATCCAATGGCGAAGGGGGAGAGGAGAGATGACTAAACACATCACTGCGGGATAAAACAACATGCTCTTCTTCCTGTCCTCATAAACCAGAGACAAACCAAAAAAAAAAAAAAAACTCACATCTGAGTCAGAGGTCTGGTGTTATGCTTCTGTACAAAGAAAAAGTAATTTAGACACAAAGTGCTGCCTCATTGTGTGCTACGGAAGAAAATCATATTGTTTTTCACTTTTAGGTGAACTATTCATTTTAGTGTCTCATGTATTCTAACCTGAATTCCTCTTAGTTCAGTTGGCGCTTCACTGCCAGGGCGTAAAGAGATGATGTCACCCTCCACCAGGAGACTGACAGGTAGATTGACCAGTTTCCCGTCACGATAGGTCCATTGTCGTGAAACGGCTGGGGAGGGCGGGGTGAACAAGTCCTCTGTGCCTCTTAGCCAATCAGAGGAAGGATGCTTCAAGAACTCTGTGATGCATTCAAAAAGTTTAGTTATTTTTCTTGGCAAGGTATTTAAAATTTTTTGCTAGCATAAGCTAACAACTACTCTACAGGGTAAAAAAAAAAAGATTGATGACAAAAGTAGTTTCTTACCATATTATTTTAAATTTATTGTCTTAATTATGAACACACTGGTTGTAACACAAACAATTTTACCATTTATTGCACTAGCTCTTCTCGTTATTTCCCTACTGTGGCTAATGAAGCAGAAGTCTTGCACATTCACAGAAAACAGCTTGAGTAATATGTATGTTGGACTTCAGAATGCGGAACCACATACTAGCATAGGCTACTACTCTTACAATTACTACCATAAAAAAGATATTTTAAAATTATTAAGAGTAGTATGCTAGAATGCGGCCGTGAATCTTGATAACGCCATTTGAATAATTGAAAGGAACCGACTCAAAAGAATGGTTACTTCACGAATCGAGCATGGATAGTTATAGCTATGATTCCAAACAAGTGACAGAAAATACGGATACTCAAATGAAATATTGTCACATACGAGACAACATTGTAGCATTTGTCAATTAAAAAATGAAAAGTTAACTAGATTTAAAAGCATATTTAAAAAAAAAAAAAAAAGCTAGCCACACTAAACTCTACCGAGAAATTTTACTAACAGATTCGCTATTTTACTAACCGCTATGCCACTGTTTGACGCTGAAATCTTTATATCATTTGTATAAATCATGAAGTGAAAGTGAAATCAAGAACTTAAAAATCTAGATTCCTGCAGAGTTTAGATCAACCATGCTCAAACACACCACTAATTTTCCAGATCTCTTTAAATTAAAGGGTACCTATTATGCAAAATTCATTTAATCACCAATATATGTCTAGTATTTGCAAGTGTTTTTCAGTGTTTGTGAGTGTGTGTGAATTTGTGTATGACTGTTTTTGGATATCCTACAGGTAGCTGCAGGAGTGTGACAGGCCACGGTCCCACACCAGGAGCGCCAAACAAAATACGCAACAGATTCAGCACCAGAAGCAGCACCTGGAAAATGAAGGTCAGAAAGATTTGATGAAGGATGACTGACCAAACAGGAAACAAATGCATATTCCACGGACAAAAAGAACCATAGCATACAGTTCTTAAAGTTATTTATTTAAATATTTTTCATTTTCATAGGCAGTGAAAAAGCTATTGCAATCCATTACATCTATTACCACTAGCCAAAAAGAAATACCAAAAGGTACCATGGTATAACAGTACCTTGTTTTTTTAGGAAGAGTATCATATGGAAATTCACACATACTACAACTTTGAACGCAATGTTAGTCACTTCTTATAAAAAAAAATCTGTCAAGTGCATTTGTCAAAATGTGAAAAGATCATAAAAAACAAGTCTTACCAGCACAAAAGGCGCTGGGCCTCTTTCTAGTAAACTTTGCACAGTAAATCGTTCATTATCCAGAACAGACACAGGTCTGTCTTGAGAAAGTTCCAAACACCTCCTACATAAAAAAGATCCATATAAAAGAGATGACATGTCAAATTCTGGGCTTTTTTCCATAAATCCGGGGGCTGTAGTTTAGGAGTTCGAGTGCATAGGATATGCTTTGCCATTGTCTATGATAATTTTCATGTTCTATGATAAAAATCATGTTGTTACAAGCTGATCCAGTGACGGTGGTGTAATGATGAGATATCATATTGAATGCAGTCCTTAAGCTCTTAAGTCCCTCTCTAGGATCTCTGTTTTGTGTCTGATAGATGAGCTAACATCAAAAAACTCTTATTCAAAAGTGAGTACAAGAACACCAATGGAACACAATGGCACTTGTTAGCTGAAACCCTTTCCCTTTCACTTGTACTTGGCAGTGTGTGTACACAACCACCCTATAATGATACAAATCCACCTGCTCCTTTTTTTTCTAATCCCCATAAATCATAAACAGTGTCTCAGAACAAGCCATTTGCAGAATGTGTCAAATGTGACGTCACTTTGCACAAGCCCCGCCCACGACTGTTGACCAGAGACCCCACCCTGAGTGAGTCGAACACAATCCGCCATGTTTATCTTCAGCTAGAGCATTTAAAAGCAGCATTCAAGTAAGAAATGTCTTCTTATTAGAGCTATAGATATTATTCAGTACAGAGCAAGTGATTTTCTGCTTTTATTTTATTGTTTGGGTCATATTAACAGCGTAGACAGCAGTATAGGTACTGTATATTATGCTACTGTCACTTAATACTTGATATACCAGTTATAACCGACTGTGTTTTTGTAACTTATGTGTGTTTTTAACATAAACTTGTGTGTATTTGATAGTTTAAGTGCAGTAAGACATGAAAGAGAACTTAGTTTAATACTCACATGCCGTGTGACAGCCGCTTTTTGTGCACATGCTTTGGATGTGTGCGCCCAGAAAACAATATATCAGAAGAAGTTTAAACTGATATGGGTTTAAAACGCATGTTTTCAGCGCAATATACATGCTAATCAAAACCAAACAGATGTTTTTTGGCAGAATATCTAAAGTAAGAGCTGTAAAGGCACAGCCCTGTTACGGAAAAGGGAACAGCAGCTCATTTGCATTTAAAGAGACATGCACGAAAATAGGATATTGCTGCTTCCACTCAAAATCAAATAGGTACTTTCAAAATTACATAATAAATGATCTGTGGGGTATTTTGAGCTGAAACTTCACAGACACATTCTGGGGACACCTGAGAATTATATTACATCTTGTTAAAAGGGGCGTAATAGGTGTCCTGTAAATTATTTCTTCTAGATTTAAATGAGAATAAATGAGAGCAAATGGACTGGTGTTAGTCCTGCTTCTGAGACATTTGCAGTTTGGAGCAAACATGAAGGTGGGTAAATTTTAAAAAAAATCAAAGGTAACTAAGATACATACACAATTATGAGCATGCTTAGTCTTGCACAAGGTTAAACTAGAATAGCGGATGATTCAAACGAATGATGCAGTGGGGATGTTTGCTCAGTAGGGTGACTAACCCTGTAAAGTGTTCAGTAAAGTCTCCACTCTGCGGGGCATCTCCTCTCTCTTCAGCCACTGGAGGACTGTCATGGCAATCAGCCCATTCAGAAGAAGAAGCAACACTGTGCATCCGCCAATCAAAGCTGTGCTGTCACTATAACAACCATACAAGAAGATAACATGTAACATTTCAGACTTTATGCTTTTATGGACTTTTATGGGGGCAGGTATATTTATCATGCACCAACCTTTTCAATGAAAAAAAAAATATTTCATGCACATATTTATAATATATTCATTGATGTTACCTGTTTGGTTCAATCACATGGCAGGTGATCAGACTTGTTGCACACAGGGTTGTCAGTAAAACCCCTGACCAGTGAAGACTGGACCAACGCACAGAGTGATGCAGAAAACATCTGCTCCATGCTGCCTGAACAACATCATACCAAAATGTCACCTTCTAACAAAAGACCTTCTGTGATGGTATCAGGTTCTAAAACGTCTTTTGGAGCCTTTATTTTTAAACACAGACATGCTTTACAAATTGCAAGCAAGCCCACTTGCCTTCCAGTGGCCATCTTTTATACAGCTCTCTCTGTGTTGTTGTAGGACAGACAACAGCTGAGTGTGCAGCAGAGATAGAGCCTCCACCGAGGACAAGCCGAGTTGTCTCTAATAAGAGAGATATGTTACAAAAACTGATATGCATGCAAATCATCTTCAGTGAGCTAAAATACAGTACATAGACCCCTGCTGTGACACTCTATGTCAGCAAGACCCTTTAAGGGACATTTTTTTTGTCTGTACTTATGATAGGTTTTAAAACAGTACAAGAGTTTTTGTTTGAGCTTTCTAGACAGGCTTTTAGTCTGTGGGATTTTCCTGTGAAACCTTCTGCAGATTACATCGTTACACCAGTAGGTGGCAACAAGATGAGACAATGTAACACAAAAGTAAAGCAAAATGTAACACATTTTTTTCCCATAAATGAAAATGTATATGAAAGTAATGAAATGAGTTACCTTTTTTAGGGAGTAATGCAATATTATAATGCATTACTTTTAAAAGTAACTTTCCCCAACACTGGTCATTGAATGATTCACTCAACCGATTTTTAAAAAATGCAGGAACTATATTTCTATAATCACATGCTTTATACAATCTCTAAATAATATATATTTTGTAAATTATGAATATGAGTTTGCAGCGATTCAACATCTGAATAGCTGCAATCTGAATATAAGATCCCAGTCTTGTTCTTAATTGCAAGCTATCGTTACTTCAGTGACGTCTGTCTCAAAATGAAGCAAGGTTCATGAAATTTAAATCATGGTTATTCATATGAATGACCTCAAGAATTACTGAGTAATGCCTGAATTAACTATGTATTTAAACTGAAAAATTATATTCAGTAAAAAGGTCTTCATTATGTAATGGAAAGCTGACTTTGTTGTAAAGGGGTCATAGGATGCTACATGCACTTTTACAAGTTGTTTGAACTAAAATGTTTGTTGGCAGTGTGTGTACACAACCACCCTATAATGATAAAAATCCACCCAGTGTTTTTTTGCAAATCGCCTTTCCTAATAATGTGCTAGTTAGCAAGTTTCAGATGAATGTGGCTAAAGTAAACAGTCTCTCTGAGAGCAGCTCGGAAGAGAGGGGCGGGGCCAGGAGAGCTCATTAACATTTAAAGGAAATTGCTACAGAACTGCTTTTGACAGGGTAAAAAAGGTGTTTTTTACACTACCATTGAGAAATTTTAACCAAACTATGTTACAGACTTTTCATTAAGACCCTAAAGAATCATATCAACTTGTGGAAAATGGGCATCCAATGACCCCTTTATTAAATTCGGTAAAGTGTAAAGAGAACTAAATAATTATCATTTGCATTGAAAATATGATAAATAGAAAATTCTGACAGGTCTACTATTACTTTAGAAATTGCTCAAACTACAGTTTGGTAGCCTATTTGCAATTAAAACTGCTAAGTTTATATGAACTTTTATCTTCTTACCTATGAATCCTCACTGTTACCACCATACCAAATGCATTTAGTGTTATTATATTAAATTTCCATAAGGGATAAATATTCTTTGCACATCTGGAATACAAAATAATATCAGTATTGTATGCACTGGCTCAGTAACTTTCTTTCTTTCTTTTCTTTTTTTATCTTGAAATGTTGTTTCTGTACTCACCGACTCACAGCTATCATCCATAAAAGTTCTCATTGTGAGCACTGAAAGGCACTATGACAGTTTCTTACATGTTTGTGTGTGTGGTGGGGGCTGGGGGG